CTCTCAGCTAATCAATTAATAGGTCGTCTTCTAGAGCTGGAGTTGTAGCACAAGCACTGCAGAACCAGATGAATTAGTTTATGGGGCACAGCCTTATAGGACTGGGTTGAGGCAATGTGGGATTTGTTTTGTTTTTAACATTTTGTCATTAATTTGTGTTTCTACTAATTTGGTTTGCAGTTGTTTTTGGTTAAGTCTCAGATTGTTTCTAGTCTTGTCCTGGGTTCCTGGGTTTTTATTGGGTTTTAAATTAGAATAATAAAGTCCATTTTTAATATTGTAAAAGAATGTATAAATAAAATATATTTTGTATACTATTTCTGTTTCATCATTCTAAGCCAGACCTACCTGGGAATTGTTAATTGGGAGACTCTAGGCCACTTGATATTATTTCAGTGGTCTACCAGTTGGCTTTAGGGCCACGTCCTCAGTCACAATCCGGGTTCTTTCCGCCGTGTTACACTTGCTCAGTGAGTTTGTTGAGTATATAACTTTATATCATTGGTTCAAACTATTGTTGTTTTGAGAACAAAGCCTTAGAACTACCTCAGGCAGGTATTTATAAATAATAACTGAGACTAAACCATTCGGCTATTATTTTCCTGATAATCTGGTGGTGCCGTGACTTCTTAATTTTGATCTATATTAAAAATAAAATGCATAGAGCACAGCTAATAAATGATTGGGTTGACGTCTTGGAAGCAGTACCCAAACAGAGAACAACTAGGAAACAAAGCATGAGACACTAATTCAGTTTAAAAAGACATCCATATTGGTGAAGTAATAGATGACATATGCTAGCTTTAGAACAATGTCTGCAATAAAATCCACCAGCTAAGCTTAAGCTAATAGACTGATAAAGGAGTCAGAACACATTGGAATGCTCCCTTTAGAAGTCACTACCTTCGTGCTCCTCTCCACCCACACATTTATTAAAATCCCTAACCCACCATGCCCTCACGTTAGAGTGCAGAGGAGTTCTGCTTTTTCTAATGGTCTAATACCCGTACATTTAAAACAAAATCCTGCCAAAGAATTTAAAATCAAGGACAAGGAGGGTGAAGGGGGTAGTGTGTCAAAAAGGCACAGAAATAAGTTTTCAAATAAATGATAAAGCAGCTTCAAAGCAGGAGGGAAAGGATGTACAGCATGTTTTATGTGTGTATGTATGTGTGTTCAGAGGAAACTGAGAAGGTAGCAACCTTGGTCTACAGGGAAGAACATATCCTTCACTTCCTGGAAGGCAGAGCGCTCCACAGTGGAACAAAACGTTCAGTGATGGAACGTCTTCAAATCATCTCAATAATTCATTTGTCTGTGAAGTGCTGCTAAAGCGAGGGATCTTTTGAAGTGGTAAAGGCGCAGGATGGCTGAGCTGTGGAACACACATGAAAACAAGTGCAGCTGTAAGGACATTAAATTTGATTTGTAAGCTTTTCCATATAACTATATCTGGCATATCTGACTTTATGCTGCATGGTAGTGTACAGGTCAAACTATTATTTCACAGCTGTCTCACCCTCCGTCTCATTTATACACACTCACACATTATGTTTTACTGTCTTTACAAGGACTTTCCTTTGATTTCCATTCATTTCTTATTCATTTCTATAGTCTAACCTAAACCCAAATCACACATTATTCTAAAACCTAACCCTTCACCCAAAATCAACCTTTCTTCATGTGGGACCAAGCATTGGGCTCCATAAGGAGCATGGGGTCCTTGCAATGCAGTATTTTTTAAGAAAAATTAGTCTTATGAGGTGAGAGTCTAAAACACACACAGGCACATCAGCTTTATAGCATCTAGGTCTGTTTGACATAAACCTTCATGGTGGTAAATTAATACACAAAGGAAGTCAGAGGTTGCCACACTTACACTAATAGGAAAATCTACAAGAACTGTACAGGTGCATATGCTTTATAGTTTGAAAAAAAAGTATTTTTGTATTGTATACATAATTAGAAACTAGTGCAAACATAAACAAGAAACAATTTACCATGTATGTTTCTGTTTCTAGAAATGTTATTTCTGCCTCCTGGGAGATGCAGTCATTTCCCAGGCTGTGTACACCTGCTCTTTACATGACTGGCTACATTTAAAGGAGCGGGACACATTTACTAAGGTTATGTGATCTTATGCTAGGATTAAAACAACAAACATACTTCTATAAAACTCAGCACACTAAAATGTCAGACTTCATGGATAAAGACTACTTTATGAATTATTTTTCATACACATATAAGTCCTTCAAGACTGATTTAATCTATATGAAAGAAATTCCATGGATTGCGTTTAACCAACCTAAATAATAAAGCATTTAATGCCTTATGATGAAGGATATGTTGATTAAATAGGGATACTAAACACACAAAGTGTTTGTCTTCCTTCCATGTTACATACTTTAATTTATAGACATGCAATATTCAAATATTATTTAAGCATTTACTTTAAATAAGATCCCTACAATTTATTTATTTATGAACAAAGGGAATTTTAGTGCATATGTTTTATGGCCAGAGGAAAAAAAAATGTGACATGATGGCTCATCAGATTCAGAGGAGAGAAGCAGCAATGAAGAAGTTTGGGTCTGAAAAATGCCTCAGAGCTGATCTGCTTAGCTGCTTTCCTCTCCCGCATGAAGTCACCAAAGGAGTTACTAACTCTCAACTGTATCCTAAACATAGAAAGTATTCCCTAACCCCAGTCAGCCATGGCAGATGGCAGCTCACTCTGAGCCAGGTTCTGTTGAAAGATTCTTTGTATTTGACATTTGGGGTAAGAATGTAATTCCTTTTCTATGCAGATAGAGTACCTGCTTTACCTGTATGGTATGAAATAATCTCATAGGTGGATCATTGTTTTTAACCCATATTTTCCCTGAGTGAGAAAATGTACCTGTAGCAGAAACAAAGTAGTTTTCAAGAGGTATCCTGATGACGTGTCTGAGCCTTTTGATGTATAGGAGTGAAAAGGACACCAAGAAACTTGAACTCCTTCACTGGAGGCAAATCTGCCCTCTGACTCAGAGGAAGCCACCACCTTTTTTTCTGTTTGAGAACCCTGAACTCAGACATAGAGGAACTGACTCTGATTCGGGACACTTCAAACCCCCCAGTACACACTGAAGGTCGAGGCCTGACATGACCCTCAGTCACATTTTCACAAAAACCAAAGATGAGTTTCTAAGGTTCCTAAACCAGACATGCATCCAGGCCCAGGCTTTCCACTTGAACCAAACATTTCTTGCTGGGATCACTAGACTGAGCCTTCCAGTAGCTCCTTCACACTGAACCCAACAAAGCTTTAGAGCCAAATTATACACTATCTTCATAAGATTTGTAAGATTTATTGCTGGGTCACTGCAAGCAATTGTATGTTTGACTTTTTACTATTGCTCCACTCATGTTTTTGGAGTTTCTGAGCTTGTCCTTTAGATATCTGATGCTACAACATCAGATATCTAAAGGGCATCATAGAAATACAGCACATATGAATATTCACACCACTGGAAAAAACTTGAGCCTTAAATTTCAAAACACAATAACAAAAGTGAAAATGCAATAATTTGTGAAACAATATTGCACACAACACATGATTTCTCTCATGTCTAAGGACAGTCAAATGTAATGTCAGTATTGCTCCACTCACCTTCCCAATTAGTTCAATAATGATAAATATTTATTACTTAGGTGAGTCTGCACCAGAAGCACCCTTAACACAACACCGGGTAGATTCTGCAAACCACCTGGCACATATGGTGCATGTCCCAGTCAAATCATGCATGTCATCATATGGCTAAAGCAAACATAACAGTCAACAGCTCTTGATTGATTTTACTACTTTATTTGTTTGGATGCTGCATTTTTAAGCAAAGTTCAAACAAAACACATTTGAGCGAGAAAATTCATTAAAAACTTGTGAAAACGATGGTGAAATCTGAATGACCCTAGTCATACTTCATCGTTAAAAAACAAAGCTCTCACAAATTTCAGTAAGACTATATATATCAAATAATTGATGTCATTTCCTCTGACTAACCAAAGAATATGAAGATGACTACAGAATAGTGTTTGTAATGAATCTCAACAGTATGTACAATTTTCTGTGCTTGGACATAAAACTTTTAAAGCATGTTCAACAATCTTTAAAAAAAAATCAAAGAAACTACCTGGATTCACAGCGCCTGAAATAAAGCATCTTTAAATTACTGCTATAGCTCAAGGTATTTCAAGGATATATTGTTGGCACCATGGTTTGAGTTTTTGTGCCTATTTTCTTAATTAAACATCAGTATTTGTTTTGTTCCAAGTCCATAACTCTTGGAGAAATTATGCACTGAGTCGAGATTCCCATGTAAATGGGCTCTCTGTACTTTCTGTAATCCCTCCATCTTTGAGTCTTTGTCCCTGTACAAGGTGGGATTCTTCCGATGGGATTGAAACTTCTTTGCTTGTCAGGATCATAGCTTTGTACTGCTGTCCTGTTATCTTCAGGTGTGTGATAAGGAACTCTGCAGAGTTCTCCTATCTGGAGGGGAAAAAAAGACGACCCAAGGTAAGCATGCATTACAACAAAGATTCATCACTGCTTCTATTTATCTTGGCTTTGTTCCAGCTTACACACATTCATACAAACACAAACATGCTCTCATTGGAAAGCTAACATGGTAAAAGCCCAAATGGATCTGTCAGCATAATGCATCAGTAACACTTTCTTCACCTGGACACACCTGTCATTCTTGAGTGATCCTGCAGATCATAAACAGCCTATAGGGGCTATCAGATTTTTGCTTGGTGTAGACCAGTGTTTCTCAACCCTGGTCCTCACAGCCCCCCTGTCCTGCATGTTTTAGGTGTTTCCCTTCTGCCACACACCTGAATTGTATCTCTGGATGATTAACAGGCTTCTGCAGTACCTGATGAATCAACTGTTCTGGAATAGAGGCTCATCTAAAACATGCAGAGCAGGAGGGCTGAGGACCAGGGTGGAGAAACACTGGTGTAGATACTGTGACTGAGTAAATAAGCGACAAAATTATCCTCTATCAGTGAAATGTTTAATAACCTTGACCATAATATGTTAAATTCAGCTTAGTCTTCAATTCTGATGTTTTGTTGTGTTTTGACAGATTTGACATTTCACTGCCCTGCCACTAACACAGATACAAACGGTTTATCTCCCAGTCTTTCTAGCAAATAATTGCAGCTTGTTCATTCTGTGGCAAGCTGTGGTACCTTGAGGAATCCAGTCAGCAGAATTACTAACAATATATTTACTGACATCATCCAATTGGTTAAATTGTCTTTTCTTAGCACAGTTTTCTGTTCTAGCAGCTACATATTCATTAGCCTGTTTATTATTCACCAAAGAGGAACTTTAATCTTTTGCTCCAGTGCATTTCTGTGACAGGTGTGGATATTAATTATGTAAAAACTTTAAAATGCACACAGTCACCCAGATCTAGCCTATTAAATGAAGTTTGCATGCTGTTAAAAAAACAAACAAACTGTGTACTGGTATAAATAACAGTTTAACTCTGAGTGGTACAGAATAAATTTACATAAATACTCATAGCAAGTATGAGTTTATTAATTAACAGAGGTCAAGATGTGGCATTTTTGATCTGTCACATTTTATTTGTTAATTGTTGTGATGCTCTTCAGTTAGAGACTAAGCTGCAGATGACACTTGGAGAGAATACACTAACAAATGAGATAAAGCAATCTATGAAAATCATATTATAAAAATATTACTTTTTAACTCTTATTTTGTGGAAATAAAAAAAATCACAGCTGATTCAAAATAAACTTATTAAATTAGAACTGTATAAGCTCATTTTATCATATACTACCACCAGGTCTATGTTGTGCTCTGGTTGCACCTGTGACTCACACACCCCTGCATGCCCTCTGTGAACAGAAATATTCCTTTAAAGCTGCCTTTGCTATAACTCATACGCATCAAATTCATATTTTATACAAACTTTTGTAGCATTTCTTCACAAACTGTTAGATTGAGGTGATGTTTTTGTTGTCAGGATTCCAGAGAAAATCTTCAGTATCTGTTATGTCTAATATGCTGTATTGAGTTTTGCACGCTGTTCCCTTTCAAACACTATATTCATCTGCTAATATGACATTTGCAGTCTAGATACTGACTACAAACAAAGAGTATCAGAAAACAGTGCTATCTTTCCACAGATAAAAATGTTGATATCCATTTTGAAACATCTTCAAACACTTTTTCTCAATTGAGGCCGTAGATGATTTGTAAATGCCAGTGAGTTGCTTTTTTCCCCAAACAGATCAGTATTATATGTGCTGCTGTTATCATCACTGCTTTCAGTCAGTCAGTTCTCCAGGGCTGCAGCTTGTCCAGCTCACAGGGTTTATATCTGAAGAATGTCAACACAGAAAGGAATGACCTTCTGCTTCAGTCTCATCACGGCCAGCCAAGAGTGGGAACAAGTCATTTTCTTTTCTTTTTTTACTTTTATATCATTAATGGTAAGACACTTACACATGCGGCATATGAATATTGGGTTGATGCACAAAGCTTCAGCAATTTTTCTGACAACATATTCAGTTCCTTTCTGAGTGGGAACCATTTGGGATCCACTCTGGAGCAGGCCATTACAACAGACAGCTGCACCTCATGTTGATCAGATATCAGATATGCTATGATCAGCATATCTGATATAGGGCGGAAAAGTGATGACAATTCTAGGGGCCCTGGCCAGCAGGGGGCCCTCCACAATTTAATTATTTATTTCTTGTTCATATAAATAAAAAAAAATCGGGGTCCTGTCAAATACAACATTAATCATATTGTATTTTCAAAGATTGTTTTTAACAGTAAAAATGTAATGTTACCCCTCCCAGACCAAAAAACACTCATCCGTTTTTGCCCTGAACTCCCCTCTATCTGCATGAAATGGTTCATTCCTGCTTGGAGCTAGACTGTGATACTGTTCAGCTGCAGTTAGTAGAAACTGCAGCTGAATACAGCTGCTACGAATGACTGAAGCAGTTATTATGCTGCTAAGAAAAGTTATAAAATCAGGTTTTCAAAAACAAAATAGAGAGAGGGAGAGAAAAAAAGTCAAGAGTGTTAATTTATAACCCAGCTTTTCTCCAAGAGAGGTGGGTAGACTGTATGAAATTATCAAACACTTAGCATAATTAGCTTAGCTACAGACTACTGTTTGCCTCCAGTTCACTAGCATTTAATGAATTAAGGAAAAAAATTACCAACATATTCATATATTTAACTTGTCCCTTGTAGCTTTTACCACACTTAACAGATGAGTCAGTCAGCAGCAGCAGCAGCTCTAAAACACGTCCCTCCTGAGTGAAATTAAAGCTGCA